AGTGCTCCTGTAAATGAGATTATTTTATGATGAAAATAATCCCTTAGCTCCTAACGAGTTCAATGTTCTATGGTCAATCAAATCAATTAAAGAATTTTATTGAGATCGTGCAATGATTTAATTTAGACGACCATTGAGAACTTGGAGTCGCCGCATGACCTCTTCGTCCTAATATGGGACTTCTCAATAGTTCACATCCATGATATTATGACGGTGGATCAAACTCAGGACCTCCGATCTCGAGTACAAACGCCTAATTTCTGAATAACTGAGCCGAAATTCGATGATATAAAAACATAACATCAAGCTTCTATTACCTTAGGTGAGTGCCTTCCTCAAATCCAACACAGATGAACCGTACTGCTTACTGGTCTACATCATCCTAAGCTGAAAACAGTATTATTTGACGAACCTTAGATTTTAACACAGAAAGTTTTTTTAAATTTAAGTTAACAAAAATAATTTTAGAAGAAATTACTGTGGTACATATACGACATTAATCATTATGAAGTTATTTATATATTATTATACATTTACAGTGTGAGAATAATATTCATACTACTTACATACACTACACCACAACATCCTGGTACTTCTAACACTACTAACACTTGCGTTAATTTAATTCTATATATTCTATGCACAAACAAAAGCACATACATATAAGTATATACTTACATCCCGCATATATATATTAACACAGTACATTGTGAGACAAGTTGAGGCAGATCGTGCCACTTTACTAATATTAAATATTAATAATGGTAATAATAGTAGTATATACACGCCTAATATTCATTGATCCGGATGCATACACAGCTAATAAACGTGTCAGATGACATTAGTTATTTAAAGTTGATGTCAGTGTATATGTATATGAAGAGATGGTAACACTTGAATTAGTCAGTATACTACTCATGTATATTTAACAAGATCATTCTTAAAATCAACTAGTATGTGATCGATATTAATTTTTAAGAATTGCGATCGCATATTGATCGGTTGCTGGTGATGGTTATGGTTGATAGGAATAAACAAATATTTATGTGTTGTATTCATTTCAGTGGGGGTACAAGTGAAAATTAGAGAGTATTAGACAGTTGTTTCGTCTTAATGAGGGACACTTCAGCTATAAACGTTATGCAGTGTTTTTTTAATGATCAGTCGTAAACCGCAAGACATGAAAGATCTGGATGCGATCTCTGGTAGGGTTTTGAAAGAGCACTATTAAGGAGTTCCTTAATAAGACTAATCAGGTGTCCAATTCGTCCTGGTTTTCAATGATACTTTAAATGAAGTTAACTTGGGTGGAATACAACTTACGGTTTAAACAGTTCCCTATAAGACTATTTCCTGATATCTACAAACAAATATTTTGAATAAATATGAGCTAATTTATTAGAAATGTTCTCATTGTTCAATATATATGGCATTTTTGGTCACTTCCTAGTTCATTTAACATATAAGCGCTGCTTATTGAAGCGTTGTTTTCAATAACGACTTCATTTCAAAAGTCTGAAGTTACTGTCAACCGTATCTAATGAACGTGCTGATGTAATGTAGCTCAATATGCCGGATGAAAAACAATACAATCAATAAATTCATACGGAATACATAAAGTGACTAGCTCGTATTTTGTTTTTTTTATCGGCCAAGCGATACATCGGAATCATAAAATAAACCAGAGTCAGAATACAAGTAATTAAGTGATTACTTCAAAGTTTTTGACTCAGTTCAAAATTTCCTGCAAGTTGATTGCCTAAACTAAAACACACTTTAAGTCTCTGTTTTTGAAGACTTTAGGTTATACAATTTAAACTAATTTTGGATTAGTATAGTTACATTCGTTCATCATCATCGGGTGAATATATATCACGTCTATTTTTTCCGTAGCTATGTAAACATAAAGTGTCGTATCTTTTTCTTTTGATTTAGTCAGTATTTTAAGCCTTTTAATTAAAAAAAATGTTGAATATTTTTTCATTTCACGACCAAGCGCATATATTTATACTTTACATTCTAAATGTCCGATTGAACTATATGACGTATACAAAAGGTATCTTGTAAGCTGAAAAAGATGAATAGGGTGGTTTGTAGATATGTAACATGTATTTTAATTTGGTTTGCTATAGTGTTTACATTTTTATTCATTTTGCACTGACTCCTTACGCAGTACATAAGAGTTAACTATTATTAATAAAGAAGGATAAGAAACAGGCTTTTGTAGAAGACTTACTGCTTTTTTAGTTTCATTCCAAATTACTGGGTTTCGATGATTAGGTTTGTTACTCAAGGCAAGTCCTTTGTCGTCTGACATATCTGTTACGAGCTACACTGAAAATGTATGTCGCGGCATACATACATACATACAGCATATATATATATATATATATATATATATATATATATATATATATATATATATATATATATAGTTGCTAACAAGTTGTGAATTTTAAAAAAATAGGCGTGATATATATCCGACCATCATCACGAAAGACTAAACAAGATTGCGATGTTTTCTGTATTTTAATTTTTTTATATTTTCTACATTTAAATTCTGAGAAAACAAACTGCGATGAAACCAGTCAGTCAATAACCAGTTTTTGACTTCAATAAAATTCAAAAATCTTCGGAACACCGAACCGACTGTTGTAATGTGCTCACTCTTGTGCAGCTACGATTGGAGATTTCTTCAGTTTTGGTGAAAAGCTATGATTAGTGCAGTTTAATCGTGTTAATTACGAGGAAGTTACCCACCGGCCACAGTAAAAAATTATCGAGCGAAACAACACAATGGTTTTACTTAGACTTGTACCCCTTTGGGTGTCGACTCTATAGTCCAGAATTAAGCGCTCGCTCGCAAGGCCGAAGATCCTGCGTTCGGTCGGTGGTTGTAGGATCGTTAATGAACACTTTTAAGGAGTCTCAAATTAGGACCTAGAATGGTCTTGAAAGAATTCTTAAATCTTCACAAATACATACCAGTAATAACCAATACTTACATGATTTCACATGTTATAACTTGATGAAGTATACTAGACGTTGTCATTTCTTGTTTCCCAATTTTAATTTTTTCCATGTGAAGAAACTGTTTTGTTTTTCTGCTTTCTTCAAGTATACTCATACTAAAATGAAATCAGAATACCTTAATCTGAATATCTTATGATAGATCTTTGAAATTTTTTTATTTCTTCAGTTCGTTCGTATATTGTAATTCATAGATGTCGATAAGTTTCTATTTAATTGATAGGTTTTTAATTGTTGGGACAGCGTTTGTATTAGATTTAGTAAAATACTGACTTGGTAGAAGAATGTACTTACATTTAGTAAAAAAAACTGAATCGGGAACAGTTAACAGGAGACAAAAATGAATTCAAAAAACGATTTGATGTTGAGAAGTGCAAAGGAAAAAAATTAGAGATTTCAAATATTGCACAGGTTCTCTTGATGAAAGTACTTTATGGTAGTAGTTTTGTTTGTGAAAATTTGTTTGAGATAAATCTGGGCGAAGGTAGTGGATCAGCTATATGAATAGAGATGATTACTATATATATATATATATATATATATATATATATTACATTTTAATCTCTGATTATTACACTAATAATTTTCATAATTAGTATTTAGTTTCAAAATGGTTTTTGTGGAGATTTTAGAAATTTCACTGGTTGAAATCATAAGTCAGTTGAAGGTAGATCACCATTGAAAACCTGGAAGCAGTGGATGGCCGTTTCGTCCTATTATGGGACTCCTCAACAGTGCGCATCCGAACCCCGCTTCGCGGGATTCGAACCCAGGACCTATCAGCCGCGCGCGAGCGTTTAACCACCAGATCAGTTGAAGTCAAACACTAACACCATTGGATGCCGGCTCAATGATCTAGTGGCTAAACGCTCGCGAACAGGACCGTTAGGTCTTGGGCTCGAATCTCTCGTAGCGAGATAGTGAATGGACATTGGTGAGGAGTCCCATAATAGGACGAAACAGCCACCCACTGTTTCCAGGTTTTCAATGGTGGTCTAGCTTCACATGACTCATGATCTCAACTATTGAAATAATATTTAGTTGTTATCGTCATTTTTCTTTTTCTTCGTTATATCTGTCAAATGGACAATTATATTTATATTTTTGATTAGAAAATTATTTTCTCTAACTCTCTTTAGATTATTAGGTTACATTTTTGTGTTACTATAAATTTCCGAACACTTATGATATGATCTCTTTCTATTCTCCTATAAACTCTCTCACTACAAAATACAATTACACAGGTTTAATAAATGATAATTTCAAACAGAAAGTTTTCATTATTAAACTATGTTGACGCCCAAATCATTTCAATTCTTTTTATACTTTAATTAATCCCTTGGAAACACACATTCGATGGTTTATTTAATTGAAATGATCAAGTCAGTAACTATATTTATTAACCTTTAAAACATCTCATATTATCTCAGAGTATTTCACTTGTGATTTGTGTTTATATATGTGTACAGACGAGATAACAATGTAACTTTTAGAGACTATTAATATTATTATTATTATTATTCATATCTAATTACATAGTACTAATGTAATACCATAAACATGAGATAATCCCATTGTTTTTGGTGTATACAAAATCTTCAGTAAGGAATGATTAGTTTAATCCTAACCTAAGTGTATACATTATTTTGTTTAAGTATAATCTATCTATGAACATGTATTGTTTTACATATATATTTATTTGACGAGTTTTATTTCTTGTATAACTCAAACAAGTTTATTATTTTGCTTTTTCTTTCATTTATTTAGGTATATAAATAACTAATTACTGATTTAATAAATGAGTATAAATACTATGTATATTCTTTCTTGGTTTGGAATTGAAAAGAATAACAATATAATTAATTGTTTAATAGTATTCATCAGTAAACAATATTTGTATTCTCAGTAGTAAAATCATTTTCTGAAAAAAAAAATCTACTCACATCTATATATATATCCATACAATAATCATGGAACTGGAAATAAGAAAACCAGTTAAAAAGTGAGTACTTTTGTTGAATTGATAAAAAATATATGTGTATATTATAGTTGATTATATAATAATTGTTCATTTCTATGATTTTGTTTAGCATAATTTATTCACTGATGATGATTTAGTGAAACTTCATCAGTTGAGATGGCTGGGACATGTGTTACGTAAGCTCAACCGTCGACTGCTCCGATGTGTGGTGTTTTATGGTGTAGGAGTAGGTGGGAAGAAAGCTAGGAGTGGCCAAACCGAAACATGGCAGAATTTCATGCAGTCACTGACAAGTGGACTGAGCCATGTTGGCTGGTGTAGATTACCTGGCTAGGATCCGTGAGACAATAGAAACCGATGGTTAGAGACTTTGAGTGATATGGCTTAAAATCGTTTGCAATGGTGCAGGTGCATCCACTCTTTGTGTTTTCCCAAATTCTAATCTTCTGAATTCTTCATGTCCCCTCCTTTTTTCCTCTTTCTAAATTTATTTCACTGGATTATGCTCCTTGAATAATATCTTCAAACCCTAATTTTTCTGATTACAGCTTATACTTTTACTACCTCTACCACTACGGGATGGGAATCAACAATTGTATCTCTGTGCTAATGTGGCATGACGACTCGAATTGATGTACATACATACGATGTTCTAAGTTGTTACTGACTGACCGACTGACTGAATTTCTTATGCTTCTTCATGTTTCTGTTTAATACTTTTTTGTACCTGGGTAAATAAAATGTCAGTTTGTATGCTGAGGATATTCAGTGCTCGTTCAATTTTTTTGACTAATAATCGATCATGGTTAGAAGTGTTTACATGTGTTCTATAAAAAGCGATTTTATCCACAAAGTTCTTGTTTTTATAGTTTTACAGTATTTGATAGAAATAGTAATGAGTGCTTTATGAGAACTATTCTTGACTTACATGTTTATAGTGTAGATAGAATAAGAGTGATTGCATGATAAAATCATGAGACAATTTTTATATTACAAATATATGGATGATATGTTCGTTTGGTGTAACAAGTACACTTACTTAGACTTATATTTTGAATTGTTTATTCATACTGACTTAGACATTTAATTTGTTTGTGAAATTTCATTCAAGAATCTCCTTTCATTTCTATATTATATGTTTTTTTATAGACAATTATTGTTTATAAGAAAAGATGGATGGTAGCTAGTCGTGGAATCCGAGATGCACATTTCATCTTATTTGTGACTCTTCAGCTGGATATGCCTGTATCCCGAAGTTAATGTTCACTTCATGACTCTAGGTGCCTATTAGATTTCACTCCTAGCTACCATCCATTTGTACTTATAGTGCTTGTGACTTAACTTAACATCGAGGCATTCCCTTCAAGATACAAATATGTCAATAAGAGATTGATCAATTTCAGTCTTAAACAATAATGAAGAGATTCAAACAACCAATACAAAGAATCAATAATTGTTTGTTTATTGGCAATGATTGTAGAATAAATATTAATGGATTTCATAATAGATCTTAACATTCTATAATAAATATTAAAACATTTATTAACCTTATTATTTCATAGTTTATAAAATTAACTATAAGTGAACATCATCCGATTTAGATTTTCATCTTAATTAGTTCATTATTAACTTATATGTAATCTACTACTCATTAATTTACTATTAATACTAATAATAATCAACTACTACACACTATTTTAATATGAAACATATTTATGATAAGAATTCAAAGTGAACTATGAGACATTCTGAAGCGTGAATTCGTAAATATTTAAATTATCTATATTATTATTATTACTATCATCATAATCGAGGAACAGACTGGTTGATTCAACGCGTAAAACCTATCGTTTACTAAATAGAATGAAGTAGTACCTTAGTTCGTGAAATATGAAATTTTTAACATTTACCATATCTATTTCAAATCTAACAAACTACTCAGTAGTAGTAGTAGTAGTAGTAGTAGTGATAGCACCAAGTACCAGACAGAAAATAAATAGGTCACTGGTGAACACATGAAAATGTGTGCAATCATTTGATTGTATTATTTATTTTTTACTTTTTAACAATGAACAGGTTAACCTTTTTCATGAAACATTTTTGACAAATATATATTTATCAATATATGCTCATTAGTGACTGGCTTCAAGAGGTATATTCTGGAGTTCCAGTCAGAAGCATTTATTGGTGGAGTTCAGTCACCCTGTTGTGAGATAATAATTCACTGATAACAATGGTGGATGTGTCGCTCAATTTCATGGATTAGTTGAAGTTAGACATTAACACCGTTAGATGCCGGCTCAATGATCTAGTGGTTAAGCGCTCGCGCGCAAGACTGACATGTCCTGAGTTCGAATCTCGCGAGGTGGGATCATGCATGCGGATTGTTGAGGAGTCCCACAACAGGACGAAACGGCCATCCATTGCTTCCAGGTTTTCAATGGTGGTCTAGTTTTAAATGACTCATGATCTTAACCATTGAAATTATTATAATATCCACAAAAAACCCCTTCTGAAATATTTCTTTATTTGTCTATCTAGTTCTACTGGTTATGATAATTATTTTCTCTTTGTTTTTGTCTCATATCAATTCCTAATTCATAGGTTTACATGATTTTCACTATTACAATGTGTGTTAAACTAAAACACTTAGTTATTATCATAGTATTGAGAATTTTTAAATGACAATATATGTAGTTGTATGAAATAAAACTTCACTAGATCAATAATTTATTTTACATAATTGAACACAATATTTAATATAGTTGTTGTGATTATATGAGATTATTATGTGGAGTAAACTAATAACAGTTTATAGTAATAACCATACCCGTGGTTCACTAAATAATTCGCGGTGAGACTATAATTTATGAACGACCTTTGAGCGATGTTAAAGTCATCTTGAGAATATCCACCTACTAAATAGGACTAAATGGGAGTTATAAACCACTGTTGACGGTTAGGGTTAGGAGTTAGAATTAGGGTTTTCATTACGAACCAACATCATCTAAAATGCCAAAACGCTATTTAGACAAATGGATGAATGAATTTCGCGCCAAAATCCAAGACCTGTTATCCTAAATCTGATTGGTTTGCTCATAGGTTACACTATCGCCTTATTCTCTCATGTAGACTTCAAAGGAAGTTAAATTTATCTGAACCGAATATTCGTTTTAATTTATTTAAGATTCGATAACCGTAATCAGTCATTTTATGACTCTCAATAACCAACACATCAGTTTCATAAAAAATACCGAAAAATCCATTTATTAATATTTTAAAAAGTAATACAATATTGAAAATAGTGGAACTTATCGTCATTCCTTGTAATGTGTTATTTATCTCATTGTGGAATTCAAGATTTTAACTAATACTGTATACTAAATGCAGATAAAGAATATGAAGTAGATATATTTTAAGAGATAATAATCAATAATATCAAAATATGTTAACAAATATTTGTTTAATAGTATGGGGTTGTGGAGATTGTTGAGTTTCTTTGAAATCATGAATTGATTAGTGTCAAGCAAGCATTGTAAATGTGGAAGGACTGGAGGGCCGTTTCGTTTTACTTTTTGAACTAATGAACAGTACTCACTCACAACTACGTATGGAAGAATCGAACCCAGGAGCCTCGGCGTCACACAAATGCTTAATCTGTAAACCAATGAGTCGGGGTACAATGGTGTTAATGTCTAACTTGTGAGGCAGCTACCCACCGGAGATAATGGAAAATGGTCGCCCATTACCGTGGATTGATTATTGTTAGACACCAATACTGTTGGATACTGGATCAGTGGTCTAGTGGTTAGGCGCTCGCGCGCGAAACTGATAGGTTTTGGGTTCGTATTTCGCGAGGCGTGATCGTGTATGTGCACTGGTGGGGAGTCCCACAATAGGACGAGACGGCCGTGCAGTGCTTTCAGGTTTTTCATGGTTGTCTAGCTTCAATTGACTCATGACTTCAACCATTGAAATTATTAAAATCTCCACAAAAACCCCTTCTAATATTTATTAGGCATTACTTGTTTACTTAACCAGTCAACAATATAAACTATTTTAAAAGATTCACTTAGTTACCAACATTATTCGATTAAATAAGAATTTTTTTAAAAAAAATACCGAACAGCTCATTTATCAATGCTCACATTATCTATTTTGTTGTAGGTTGTTTTTATTTGATTGATATTAAATCTGTCAAAATGAACTAACAAAGAAAAAAGAAACATATTTTAAATGTAATTATACTCAAAAATAGTAAATCTCAGTATGTGTGTATGTATGTAGATATGTATTTATGTGTGATCCATTTTGTTTAAACGAATACATATAAGGTAGTTTATTTTTATTTTATTCAATTGGCTACAAGTACTTCTACAACTACTACTGCCACTACTACTACTACTACAACACAAAAACTGAATATTTGAGTTGATTCATCAATTATATTTTAAATTAAAGGCAACCAGAACTACCTTTCAGTTGCTATGTGTTTTTTCATCATCAACAACAACAACAACGAAAAAAAATTCAATGATATTTATTATTAAAAAACAAATGTACATTCAACTCATTTGCATACATTGATTTTTAATTCAATGTTAACATTAGAAATATGTAGATTGTATTATTTGTAAAAAATTTAAATATATTCAATTAATAATGGCATCATTTATATGTTTTAAGTTGAGTTTATTGTACAGTCAGTCAGTAACAACGTAGAACTTCGTACGTACGTACATCAGTTCGAGTTGCCATACCACATTAGCACAGAGATGCATATGTCGATTCAAATCCCATAGTGGTAGAGGTAGTAAGAGTATAAGCAGTAATCAAAAACATTAAGGTTTGAAGATGTTATTCAAGGAGTATAATCCAGTGAAATAAATTTGGAAAGAGAAAAAAAAGAAGAGGACATGAATAATTCAGAAGATTAGAATTAGGGAAAACACAAAGAGTGGATGCACCTGAACCATTGCAAACGATTTTCAGCCATGTCATTCAAGGTCTCTAACCATCGG